AGTGTGCCTATAGGATAATCCGGCCGTGTTTTGTAGTCTTACTTAAAATTCCTGGACTTAGTGACATATTTCAATAAATGAGGAGAACATTCGTTCTTGAAAAAGGAACAACTATTTGATGTTGCAAGAGCATTGGATTTGATTAGACCACTAAAAATGAAGCGTCTTATGATTCATCAATTTATTTATGTGAACCGAAAGACATATATTTGTTGCAATTTTTAGATATCATTTTTATTAATTGTTAACTAATTGTTGTTAATAACTGTTATTAATTAAGAAAGTAAGCAAAAAGGAGGCTGTGCAATGTCATTTCAAGAGTTGGCGATATTGATATACGCTCGCTCTGTGAGCTTGGCATCCATTATGCCAATCCTTTGCAGACTGGCTTTCTCCATAGGGTTAATTTTTTTTACTTGCTACAAAGTATAGTTTTCTGGGATTGTTTTGAATATTTTAACTCCTAAATTTTTAAGAAGATTGTTTTTGTATATCTTCTTATGTAATAATAAAAGAGAAACCATCATATACTGTTGTAAAGCACGCAAGTTAAAATATCAGATCTTATAGTTGTTGTAGAGTATATCTAAAATTGGATTTAAGTTAAAGGAATTTTAATGTGTGTGTATATATATATATAACGTTGTTGCTGAGTGGAAGGATTAAAACAGTTCTTAGGCAGGGAAGGAGGGTACAAAATTTATTTATTAATTATTAGACAGAGATCAGCTATAAAAGTGGTCACGAAATGTTGTGTTCTTCATTATAAGTTAGGGAAAATCTTGCAAAGTAAATCCGTAAAATGCTTCGTTTTAGAGAATAAGGGAAATCTTAGTAATTGTAATTGCTTTATCAAATAGGTTACGTGATTCCCACAACAAGCAAAGGTGAAAATGTCCTGCTTTTAATTAATGCATGCTTGAGCCAAAAATAGATTTAAGGACAGGATGTGGATTTAAAAGTGTGAGAAAGTGTTTCAATTAGAATATAATAAAGGAAAAGGATTTACAGAAAAGAAATAACAAAAAGATTAATTGAAGCTTTTTATGTTACATACATACACACACATCTATTGTGTCTATGTTTGTAACTATTGTGTCTATGCAAGTACTTGAATCTATTTTCATTCATAATCTGCTTTTTCTTATTATCATTTATTTTTTTAACTGTTTCTAATATTTAATTTATTGATCTTTGTAAAACAATTTATTACTTGTCATATATTGTTTATCATTTTCTTTTATAGTTTCAAATTTTAGTTCAATAAATAAATGTCTATAGCTTGTTTATAAAATTATTGATTTTCATAACTTTTTTTAAGGTCGTTTCAATGCTAATGATGATGGCTCTGGTTTCAAAGCTGCACTGCTCTCTGGTCCTCCTGGTGTGGGCAAAACCACAACAGCTCAGTTGGTGTGCAAAGTATGTCTTTAACTTATTGCTTTAAGGCAATTAGACTATAATTTTTTTGTTTAAATAAGAAAAAAATGAATGTAAGTTAATTCATTATAGGAATCTGGTTATGATTTCTTTGAACTCAATGCTTCGGATACTCGATCGAAGAAAACCTTGCAGCAAATGGTTTCTCAGTTGTTAGGCAATCAAACTTTGGCTGATTGTTTTAAAGGTAAGATAATATTCCATATACTTCTATAAAGATCAATAGAAAATAAACTGAAAAAGTGTTAATGAATAAAATTTGTCTTGTTTTTATTCTTCTGTATTTGCTTTATGTATTATTTTCTCTTCCTGGACTTTGACAAAACCTTTGGGGTACAGAGAGAGCAATTTTAGACTTTTGTCGTGCTCTCTCGATAGAAAAGGTTTTGCTTTTATGACTTCCGGAGCTGGTATTCCCTGAAGACATCAGCTTTGGTTGTCATATTTATCCTTTTTTCCCCCTTCATATTTCATTGTTTCTCTTGTTTCAATTCCTTTCTGATTCACTCCTGCTTTGCGCGTTTTTCCATTGGAAGTATTCTTTCTTAATTAAAAAAGTGTTATTTATTTCCTCAGCAGATTTTTCATAATAAATCATTAGTGAGCATATCCTATTTTAAGTGCTTAATAGCTGCTTATTCTTTGGTAAAAAAATTTAATATGCACCCTATTTTATTTTTATTAAATTTTTTTTCTGCAATTTTTTTTAATTCATATAAGGGCAAACTTACTTATTATATTTGTTCTAACTTAGAATCTAACTTCTTTGAAAAGTTTTGATTTTTGCAGTTTACTAAAGGTTCTTTTACTGTTAAAAAATTATAAAATGAAAAATATCAGTCATTTCATTGTGAATTTTAATCATACAAAGAAAACTGTATTTTTTTTTTTTTTACCACAAAAATTGTTTTATGATAACAGAAAATGTTAGCATCCTTTATGCTAAAATCCTTTTTTTTTTTTTAAATGTACATCAGGGATCTTCTTTGCTTTAGACTTTAATTAAATTTATGTGCTTTTATTTAGATGATGCTGGTAAAGTTTCAAGCAATCATGTAATTATTATGGATGAAGTCGATGGGATGGCTGGAAATGAAGATAGAGGCGGAATGATGGTACATAAGTTTCTTTTTTTTATTTATTTAATTGCATGATAATTGAATTTTTCTGACTTTTAGATAGTCCCATGATATTGCCATATACTGCAATTGGTGTGATGGATTAACTGCTTCCCATACCAATTTTTTTATAAAACGAAATGCAAAATATCAGCATTTTTTTTATTTTATTAATAAATACAAGGAACTGAAACAAAACTTAATACACAAGTTTTAAGCTGAAATTTATATTTTTTTATGCATAAAAAACATTTTATGTACTGTCAGTTTCCATCTCCTAGTTATCTCGGGCAAATGAAAAAAGCCAAAGATGCACCTTTTTTTTAAACTCCTTTTTATGTAAATTCAACAACCATCGTATATACGATCACACAAGTTGCCTCAGTATAATAAATGCTTGCAATGTATACATACTTGAGTTAACCTAAGATAACCAGAGAAACAGTTAAGTCTCCACCTACTATGGTTTGAAATCTTCTCTAATGTGATCTTCCGTGCAGTTTCAGATCTGTTAAGTATATGAGAATATTCTACATGGTTAAGTGTATGAGAGTATTGTACAAAGACTGTAATTATTACCCTTCATCTGCCCTCTGATTAAAATTTGGGCGCTGATTTAAAGTATATTATCACTATAAAGTAAACTGAGATCATCTCAAATAGCCTATTATTTTATCTCTAATGCAACATTAAAAATCAGACCTATCTGAATTCTGAAAATATCTTTACAGTTGCAACCTCTTTTTTTTTATCTTTTAAAGTCTTTGTTTAATAAATTTTTAATATAAATTTTCGATTTTTTGTAACTACATCGGAAATGATTTTACTTTTAAAGTTGAATATTTTCTTTAATTACTATTTTCATAAAATATTTTAGTGTGTGTGTGTGCTTTTATTTTTATATTTTGTATTTTAGCCTGACATTTTTTTTGTGTGTGTTTGTGTGTGTGTGTTCCTCACACTATTGAATTGATATATTTTGCTTTGGATGTCATCATGCAATATTAGAAAGCACTCTATTTTGCGTTATAATCATATGAGCTGATGACGAGTATATCTTTTATTTTATTTTTTAGCTCTGTTTTTTTTTTTTTTTTTTTTTT